TACACACTATCACACCTGTACTGTACACACTATCACTCCTTTACTATTCACACTATCACACCTGTACTGTACACACTATCACACCTTTACTGTACACACTATCACACCTGTACTGTATACACTATCACACCTGTACTCACACTTATCACCTCTGTACATACACACTATCACACCTTTACTGTTCACACTATCACACCTGCACTGTACACACTGTCACCTCTGTACTGTACACATATCACACCTGTACTGTACACTATCACACCTGGCTGTACACACTTATCAAATCTGTACCGTGTACACTATCACACCTTACTGTTCACTCCATCACACCTGTACTGTACACACTATCACCTCTATACTGTACACACTATCACACCTGTACTGTTCACATCTCACACCTGTCTGTACACACTATCACACCTGTACTGTACACACTTATCACCTCTGTACCGTACACACTGTCACACCTGTACTGTTCACACTATCACACTTGTACTGTACACACTTATCACCCTGTACCGTACACACTATCACACCTGTACTGTTCACACTATCACACCTGTACTGTACACACTATCACACCTGTACTGTACACACTATCACACCTTTACTGTACACACTATCACACCTGTACTGTACACACTATCACCTCTGTACCGTACACACTATCACACCTGTACTGTACACACTATCACACCTTTACTGTACACACTATCACACCTGTACTGTACACACTATCACCTCTGTACCGTACACACTATCACACCTGTACTGTACACAATTATCACCTCTGTACCGTACACACTATCACACCTGTACCGTACACACTATCACACCTGTCCTGTACACACTATTACACCTGTACTGTACACACTATCACACCTTTATTGTACACACTATCACACCTGTACTGTACACACTATCACCTCTGTACTGCACACTAATTCATCACACCTTTACTGTACACACCATCACACCTGTACTGTACACACTATCTATCACACCTGTACTGTACACACTATCACACCTGTACTGTACACACTATCACACCTGTACTGTACACACTTATCAAATCTGTACCGTGTACACTATCACACCTTTACTGTTCACTCTATCACACCTGTACTGTACACACTATCACCTCTATACTGTACACACTATCACACCTGTACTGTTCACACTATCACACCTGTACTGTTCACACTATCACACCTGTACTGTACACACTTATCACCTCTGTACCGTACACACTGTCACACCTGTACTGTTCACACTATCACACCTGTACTGTACACACTTATCACCTCTGTACCGTACACACTATCACACCTTTACTGTTCACACTATCACCTCTGTACCGTACACACTATCACACCTTTACTGTAATACTGACTATCATACCTGTACCGTACACACTATCACACCCGTATTCGTACACAATTATCACCTCTGTACTGCACACACTATCACACACCTTTTACTGTACACACACTATCACTCCTGTACTGTCTACAATTATCACACCTGTACTGTACATTACTCATCACCTCTGTACCGTACACACTATCACACCCGTACTGCACACACTATCACACCTTTACTGCACACACTATCACACCTGTACTGTACACAATTATCAATTCTGTACCGTACACACTATCACACCTTTAATACACATCACACCTGTACTGTTCACACTATCACACCTGTACTGTACACAATTATCACCTCTGTACCGTACACACTATCACACCTGTACCGTACACACTATCACACCTGTCCTGTACACACTATTACACCTGTACTGTACACACTATCACACCTTTATTGTACACACTATCACACCTGTACTGTACACACTATCACACCTGTACTGTACACACTATCACACCTGTACTGTACACACTATCACCTCTGTACCGTACACACTATCACACCTGTACTGTACACACTATCACTCCTTTACTATTCACACTATCACACCTGTACTGTACACACTATCACACCTTTACTGTACACACTATCACACCTGTACTGTATACACTATCACACCTGTACTGTACACACTTATCACCTCTGTACCATACACACTATCACACCTTTACTGTTCACACTATCACACCTGCACTGTACACACTGTCACCTCTGTACTGTACACACTATCACACCTGTACTGTACACACTATCACACCTGTACTGTACACACTTATCAAATCTGTACCGTGTACACTATCACACCTTTACTGTTCACTCTATCACACCTGTACTGTACACACTATCACCTCTATACTGTACACACTATCACACCTGTACTGTTCACACTATCACACCTGTACTGTACACACTTATCACCTCTGTACCGTACACACTATCACACCTTTACTGTTCACACTATCACACCTGTACTGTACACACAATCACCTCTGTACCGTACACACTATCACACCTTTACTGTTCACACTATCACACCTGTACTGAACACACTTATCACCTCTGTGCTATACACACTATCACACCTTTACTGTTCACACTATCACACCTGTACTGTACACACTATCACACCTGTACTGTACACACTTATCACCTCTGTGCTATACACACTATCACACTATCGAGGGTGTTAGTGTGGCCAGCAGCATCGTGTCGTTGTGTTCCACCTCGCATTAGCACTATTTTATCTGGAGTCTGATGGCCAGTGATGACGCACCCAATTAATGCATCTGATTTAGTAGTCCATTTTGTCAAAATAAATACGACCGCTTGTTTTTTGTGTTGGCAATATTTTCAGTGTGTCATTTCAGTATTGGGTGTTGTGTTGTGTGTGTATGTGTGTTGTGTTGTGTTGTGTGTCAGGGTGTTGTGTTGTGTGTCAGGGTGTTGTGTTTCAGGGTGCTGTGTTGTGTGTGTGTTTGTTGTGTTGCGTTGTGTTGTGTGTCAGGGTGTTGTGTTGTGTGTCAGGGTGTTGCGTTGTGTGTCAGGGTGTTGTGTTTCATGGTGGTGTGTGTGTGTGTGTGTGTGTGTGTGTGTGTGTGTGTGTGTGTGTGTGTGTGTGTGTGTGTGTGTGTGTGTGTGTGTGTGTGTGTGTGTGTGTGTGTGTGTGTGTGTGTGTGTGTGTGTGTGTGTTTGTTTGTTGTTTTGTGTTGGTGTTGTCTGTCAGTGTTAAAGTGTCTTACAATGTGTTTCCAGTACATGCTCTTATAAAGACGCATCGAAATAACTATCAAGTGCAGTAGTCATTTGTAGCGTCGAGTCACACCTAACCTAACTATCAGTCATGGGTCAGCTCTTGTAATGTATTGTGTCAATTAAGGAAATAGGATAAAAATGACATAAATATACACACCTGTAGAGAAATGGCTTTAATAAATACACACCTGTAGAGAAATGACTTAATGAATACAACACCTGTAGAGAAATGGCTTAATAAAATACACACCTGTAGAGAAATGACTTAATGAATATGTACACACCTGTAGAGAATTGGCTTAATGAATATACACACCTGTAGAGAAATGACTTAATGAATATACACACCTGTAGAGAAATGGCTTAATAAATACACACCTGTATAGAAATGGCTTAATAAATACACACCTGTAGAGAAATGACTTAATGAATATACACACGTGTAGAGAAATAACTAAATGAATATACACACCTGTAGAGAATTGGCTTAATGAATATACACACCTGTAGAGAAATGACTTAATGAATATACACACCTGTAGAGAAATGGCTTAATAAATACACACCTGTATAGAAATGGCTTAATAAATACACACCTGTAGAGAAATGACTTAATGAATATACACACGTGTAGAGAAATAACTAAATGAATATACACACCTGTAGAGAAATGACTAAATGAATATACACGCCTGTAGAGAAATGACTTAATGAATATACACACCTGTAGAGAAATGGCTTAATAAATACACACCTGTATAGAAATGGCTTAATAAATACACACCTGTAGAGAAATGACTTAATGAATATACACACGTGTAGAGAAATAACTAAATGAATATACACACCTGTAGAGAATTGGCTTAATGAATATACACACCTGTAGAGAAATGACTTAATGAATATACACACCTGTAGAGAAATGGCTTAATAAATACACACCTGTATAGAAATGGCTTAATAAATACACACCTGTAGAGAAATGACTTAATGAATATACACACGTGTAGAGAAATAACTAAATGAATATACACACCTGTAGAGAAATGACTAAATGAATATACACGCCTGTAGAGAAATGGCTGAAGGAATATACACACACCTGTAAAATATACGTACATACATGCATACTGGTATATTTTCCACCGTAGATCATGAAAAGATTAAAGTACAGTATTTAAAAAAAAGTTGGGATGTGAAAAAGCTGCTCCAATATTGTGATGAAATATAATACACAAGTTAATGAAGAATACTGATTTGGTGATTACAGGTGATTACAGCAGTGGTTACTAAAATAAATTGATTACAGGGAATATATTACAGTGAACTTTGGATGTTATTATAGAAGGGTAGGGAGACTTTTGCTATAATCCACGAATTATAGGAAATATAAACGCATATAGAGAGTTATAGTGTAGGGTGTAATTATATAGGGCTCCTGTACGTTGTAAACAGGTTAGGTTGTAGACATAACTGTAGGGAGGGTTATAGTGTCCGTGATCCAGTTGTTAGTGTACGTGGTAAACAGGTTAGGTTGTAGACATGACTGTAGGGAGGGTTGTAGTGTCCGTGATCCAGTGAGAGAGAGAGAGAGAGAGAGAGAGAGAGAGAGAGAGAGGACTCCAAAATCACTATCAAAATTCACCTTCACTTCATAAATCATCACTCTCTTCTTACACTCTCACACACCCCCATCAATTATATACGAGTCATGAGAAACATGACAGAGAGAACATGATGGAATGGATACATGTTCTTCTTTCTAACCATTAAATCCCTTCACTTTCACCTTCACTGTCATGTTCTCCCGGCAGGTGCAGGTGGGAGACAACATCACGGTTTCAGTGTTGTTGTTGGACGTGACGCGAGAACATCACGGGCGGCAGCTAGTGTGTCGGGCCCAGCACCCTACCTTGTCTGACGCCACCCTTGAGGATATTTACACCCTTGACGTCTCATGTGAGTACTAAGTGCGTGTGTGTGTGTGTGTGCGTGGGGGGGTGTCTGTGTTTGTGCGTTGATTGTTACATATTTTTTTTATTACGAAAGCATACATATTGTTACACATCTATAGTTTACAAGCGTTTGCTCTTAAAATTTCAAACATATAATTTTACATATTTTCATAACCCAACCCAACCCAACCCAAAATTATCATCATGCTTCAAAAAAATTCCAACACAATTTACATACCTGCGTCAGGAAAACAACTGAGAAGATTTTTATGTTATTGCAAGAAAATAAATTCCTCTCAGTTTGTTGCAAGTCTCAGGACAAGAAAGATGTCTTGTGTCTTCTGAACATTACGAAAAACAACAACAATAACTGGATTTACTCTTCATGTCACTGGTTTTATAAATTCTGCAGAAAACACTTGAGGTAGACGACTGTTCTTTCCTTGCAACATTTCCCTCCGAGTGAGTTATTGTGTGTGTGTGACTGTTTGTGTAGGGAAGACTGGCACGTATTTGTTCACACTACGCAGGGTGAGCGTTTATTGGGGTAGAGTGCATTATTATTGTTCTTGGTATATACATAACACACACACACACACACACACACACACACACAAATGAGTTGGTCGCTTTTCCTGAAACTTGACAGAAGAGATGAGTATTATCCAGGGAGAGAGAGAGAAAATTGCTTTAAGTCTGGCAGGGAAAAGTTGCTTAACTACCTGGATCCAAAGATTTTAGTCCTGACCCACAAGAAAGTTAATGAGCTGCTGGACATGTTCATAAATTAAGGAAAGACACACAAGTGGCAGTCTCTCTCAGGTACTGTAGATACCTTGAATATACCTGTGATATCACCTTGTATCTGTGTCTAATATGTGGGGAAGGACACATGGTATATCACCCCATATATACGTCTAATATCAGGGGAGTAATTGGACGTCAAAAATATACCCCCTGAAGATCAGTCATTAGTATGGAAGAGTAGAGAGAAGTATTAGTGTTTAAACTATAAGACTATTAGACGGCAGGGATGGATTGTATCAAAAACAGAGGTAGACAGAGAGATGGAGGAAGGGAGGAAGGAAGGAGAGGGTAAAGGAAGGAAGGAGAGAAGGAAGAAAGGAAAGAACGATAGAGGTTGAGAAGAAAGGGGTCGGGAGAAGAGGAGGGGGGAGAAGGAAGGAATGAAGGAATAAAGGAAGGCGAGAAGGAAGGAGGGCGCGTGAGAATGAATGAATGAAGGAAGGCAAGCGAGAGGGGAGGGCGCGTGAAAAAAAAGGAAAGAAGGAAGACGAAAAGGAAGGAGGTCACATGAGAATGAAGGAAAGGAGGAAGGAAGGAGTGAGGGAGGAAGGAAGGAAGGAGAGAGGGACCGGGAAATGTTCAATAACCAGACCGGCTGTATGATAATTGTGTTACGTCTTGGTGAGGTTCTGCTTCCTGCCTACCTCCACCAACCCACCCCAACCCACCCATCCCATCCAAACCCACCCATCCCATCCATCCCAACTCAACCAACCAACCCAAACCCAAACCCCAACCCAACCCACCCAACGCACCACCTTGCACTCCACCCCACACCCATCCAACCCACCCACACATCCCTGTCACAGCTCACAGCCATGAGGATTTAACACACACACACACACACACACACCAATTTGCTTTTCGGTTTCGCCTTATCTCCGTCTGTTATATATCTTTCTTTCTTTCAATCTGTCTCTATTATTCTTTCCTTCTCTTTCTCTTTCTTTCTCTTTACATCCCCCTTTTTCTTGCCTTCTTTCTTTCATTATCTTTTTTTTTCTCACCGCTGGTTCTCCTTAACTCGGAGTAGCTTGCCTCAAACACTCACAAAGTTGATTTCATACAATGGCTTATTATTGTGTGTGTGTGTGTGTGTGTGTGTGTGTGTGTGTAAATAATAATAATAATTTACGGTTTATTGAAAAAGTTCTGCAGCCCGAAGGCTGAAAATATACATTGGACATAAATGACTTATTACATACATTGGTGGTTTAACAAAAGCCTTCATTAGAGAAAGGCAAAGGAACATACAGTGAACATACAGATTAATGTAGGTGTTGAACAGCAAACTCGTAGTGTAGTAACTCCCTCCCAGATGGTTCTAGGAGGAACTCACGTGGTGTAGTAGTTCCCTCAGATGGTGTTATGAGGGGCCTCACGTGGTGTAGTAATTCCCTCACAGATGGTGTTATGAGGGACCTCACGTTGTGTAGTAATTACCTCACAGATGGTGTTATGAGGGGCCTCACGTGGTGTAGTAACTCCCTCACAGATGGTGTTATGAGGGGCATCACGTGGTGTAGTAATTTCCTCACAGATGGTGTTATGAGGGGCCTGACGTGGTGTAGTAATTCCCTCACATTTGGTGTTATGAGGGACATGTGGTGTAGTAATTCCCTCACATATGGTGTTATGAGGGACATGTGGTGTAGTAATTCCCTCACATATGGTGTTATGAGGGACATGTGGTGTAGTAATTCCCTCACAGATGGTGTTATATGAGTGAGGTGTGGTCTTAGGCCTTCCTATCGTAGCCGGATTAACACATCGCTGGTTGTTGTTGGGTCTCGCGGGGGCCGTTATCACTGGGTACCTGGGACCTCACTGTGTGAAGGTTAACTTGGGTACGACTGTTACTGTTGAGTTGTTCTCACTGACTTAAGCACTGTTCACCACTGTTCACCTGTGTTTAACACTGGTTCCGTTCCTTTCCTAAATGAAATTGTAACTTCTAGCGAGAACTTGTTGATATTCCGGTGGGGAGGAGGGTTCAGGGGAGGGGGTTGGTATGGGCCAACTTAACAGTTGACCTGGCTGCTCCGAGAGGAGCGCCAGGTACGTCTTGACCCTTCGGTGGTCAAGGATGTAGTGTGTGTGTTATGTAGTTGTGTTTGTGAGTGATTATATCTCTCTCTACTTAATAGACAGACAGAGAGACATACAGACACACCGCCATTCAGAGAGAAGGACAGACATGCACATTGCACACACTCTCTGACCGTCCCTCCCTGTCCTTTCCTCCCTCTTTTCTCCCTCCTTCCTCTTTCTCCCTCTTTCCCCCAACCCTCTCTCTCCATCTCTCTCCCTCTCTCCTCCCCAACCCTCCCTCTTCCCCCTCCCCTTCCTCAACCCTCCCCTCCTCCAACCCTGCCGTCCCCCCAAACCCTGCCCCTCCCCCCAACCCTGCCCCTCCCCAAACCCCCTCCCCTCCCCCCAACCCCCTCCCCCTCCCCCCCAACCCCTCCCCTCCCCCACCCCCCTCCCTTCCTCCCACCTTCACACACATGTCCATTCTCCACTGACGTCACCATGTCATATCAGGTCAACAAAACATATCAGTTCTCCTCCCTAAACTCTCCTCCTATCTGTCCGTGACCCAGATCCGTGACCTCGCAGTGTTGTATGCAAGTGTCGACTCCACCTTTCGCTTGTAAGAACCATTTTAACATTTTACCTCAATTTATATACGTGTGTTTCGCTTTTATTTGCTTATTTTTTTTTTTTTTTTTTTTGCTTTTGTCCGTCTGTTGTTGTGATATGTTTAGAGGAACAAATACATTCGTATATTGATATTGGAGTTGTATTGCGTGTGTATTTTTTGTGTTTTGTTGTTGGATATTTTGTTATTTTATCTTTGTGTGTGTGTGTGTGTGTGTGTGTGTGTGTGTGTGTGTGTGTGTGTGTGGTGTTTGATAAGGTGTTTTATTTATTTTATTTTTATTTTTTTTATTTGGAATTAGATAGTAGTTGTGTTTATTTATCCTGTTTCGCTTTAATTAAATGATTTTATCTCTCTCTCTCTCTCCACCACCATAAGTAACATTCTCTCTCTCTCTCTCTCTCTCTCTCTCTCTCTCTCTCTCTCTCTCTCTCTCTCTCTCTCTCTCTCTCTCTCTCTCTCTCTCTCTCTCTCTCTCCCACCACCATAAGTAACATTCATTCTCTCTCTCTCGCGCGCTCTTCACAACCATAAGTAACATTCATTCTCTCTCTCTCGCGCGCTCTTCACAACCATAAGTAACATTCTCTCACCTCCATCATAAGTAACACTCTCTCTCTCTCTCTATCTTTACCATAAGTAACATTCTCTCTCCTACCACAGTAACATTATCTCTCTACCATAAGTAACATTCTTTATCCACCACCATAAGTAACATTCTCTCTCCACCACCATAGTAACAGTCTCTCTCTACCATAAGTAACATTATCTCTCCGCCACCATAAGTAACATTCTCTATCCACCACCATAAGTAACATTCTCTCTCCACCACCATAGTAACGTTCTCTCTACCATAGTAACATTCTCTCTCCACCATCATGGTCATTCTCTCTCCACCACCACAGTAACATTATCTCTCTACCATAAGTAACATTCTCTAGCCACCACCATAAGTAACATTCTCTCTCCACCACCATAAGTAACATTCTCTCTCCACCACCATAAGTAACATTCTCTCTCCACCATCATAAGTAACATTCTCTCTCCACCACCATAGTAACAATATCTCTCTACCATAAGTAACATTCTCTCTCCACCATCATAAGTAATACTCCCTCCCATAAGTAACACACTCTATACCATTATTAACAATCTCTCTCTACCATAAGTAACATTCTCACCACCATCATTATTTACCATTAGCATTCATTCTCTGCCATAAGTCACATTCTACCGTAGTAACATTCTCTCTCAACTATAAACCTCTCTCTTTCTACCATAAGTAACACTCTCTCTCCCCACCAATGCATGGTACACTACATAGTAACACTCTACCATAACTAACCTCTACCAAAGACTCTCTACCATAAGACACTCTACCATAAGTAACGTTCTCTCTCCCCATCATCATAAAGTAACACTCTACCAAGACTCTGCAGAACACTCTACAAAGTAACATTCTCTCTCTCCACCATCATAAGTAACATTCTCTCTCTCCACCATCTAGTAACATTCTCTCTCCATCATAAGTAACAATTCTATCAAAATTAACATTCTCTCTCTCACTCTTTCTCTCTCCCTCATCAGTCAAGCCAAATGTCAGCCTGCGCCTGGGAAGAGCTCTCAACCCCGCGGATCTGCAAGAGGGTAACGACATATTCTTCGATTGTTCTGTAGACGCCAACCCTCCGCCTTATAAGATCCGCTGGCTGCATCAGGTCAGTAGCGATATATTGTATTTACACCATTTTAGTAGCGATAATAGCGATATATTGTATTTACACCATTTTAGTAGCGATAATAGCGATACATTGTATTTACACCATTTTAGTAGCGATAATAGCGATACATTGTATTTACACCATTTTAGTAGCGATAATAGTATTGTATTTACACCAGTTTAGTAACAATAATAGCGATATATTTCGTACTTACAAATAGCGATAATACTCCTACACACAGTCTCCACCACTACCAATCATCCTCTTACTTGATATAAAATTCGTCTCCTGAATGCTCATAAGAAAAAGTATATAAACTATTAAAATTTTCCAATCATATCAGGACCATATATATTTTGTTACGTGGGGGGAGAATAAGTGAACACACACACACACACACACACACACACACACAGCTTATAACAACTTTTCCCCAGGCACCAAAGTGTCTTAGTTAAATATTCTACTCGTGAACGTCGAAGCTCAAGTTGAAGGGACATACAATTTCCTTTTTCGATCGAACAACCATTTTAGCCTGAGGGAACGTGGCGTTTATCGGGTTCAACACAGAGGAGACTTCTTAACCTCAATAGATCCTTATATATCTCCGTCAACAGCTGTAATATGAGGAAGATTGATAAGGCTTCATCTGTGTTATGCTTTGGGTGAGGAAGAGGTTCTGTGTTCATCTCCTTCAACACCTACACCTGGGTATGAGTTAATAAGATACTTAATCAAGGGATGAGAGGAACAGGTTTTATAGGATAGACAAGGTTGTGTTGGTATTGGTAAAATTCTCTCTCTCCACTCTCTCTCTCTCTCTCTCTCTCTCTCTCTCTCTCTCTCTCTCTCATAGACTATACTAATGTACTCATTCACACGTACAGGCAAACACACACACCACACCCACACACCCACACCCACACACACCCACACACCACCCACACACACCCACACACACACACACACCCACACACCATATTCTGTAAAAAACTGTAAATTTCTTCCAAATTTATATATTCACCACCGTGCTGCCGTAACTCACCTGTAAAATATTTAAACACAGGCGGCTCTACCTTGCTGTTACGGGCGTTTTGTATTAATTAGTTGGATGGTGTTATGGGCGGCAGGTAATTGACTGGGGCACATTAACCTCCCACCTTCATAACCTTACCTGCTGATGACCTATAGTTTGTTTAATCACCTGTGACGGCCGCTCTTACCGACCTGACTGCTGGATGTTGTTTTCAAGGGCCAGTGAGTAATTAATTTTGTTTGTGTACTTTTATGTCGCAGTTTTTTTCTTCTTTTTTTCTGTTGATTAATTGTATTTTATTTGTGGATTTACTGATAGTTTTATGGAATTTTTTCTTTTGTTGTCTGTATTTTTTTGTTTATTTATTTACTCCTGTATTTTATATATTTTTCCTTTATATTTTTAAATCATTTACCATGTCAGGATTTGTTATTTATTTGTTAGTAAGATTTAGAAGGAGAGAAGTCTTGACACTTACCGCCCCAAGGCACTCACCCGCCCAAGGCACTCACCCGCCCAAGGCACTCACCCGCCAAGGCACTGCCCCAGGCACTCACCCGCCCCAAGACACTCACACCCCCAAGGCACTCACCCCGTCAAGGCACTCACCCGCCCAAGGCACTCACCCGCCCAAGGCGCTCACCCGCCCCAAGGCACTCCACCCGCCCCAAGGCACTCACCCGCCCAAGGCACTCACCCGCCCCAAGGCCTCTCACCCGCCCAAGGGCTCACCCGCCCCAAGGCCTCACCGCCCCAAGGCGCTCACCCGCCCAAGGCACTCCACCTTAAGGCACTCACCCGCCCCGGGCACTCACGCCCAAGGCACTCCACCCGCCCCAAGGCACTCCCACCCGCCCAGGTACTCACCGCCCCAAGGCACTCACCCACGCCCAGGCACTCCACCCGCCCCAAGGCACTCACCCGTCAGGCACTCACCCGCCCAGAGCCTCACCCGCCCAAGGCACTCACCCGTCAAGGCACTCACCCGTCAAGGCACTCACCCCGTCCAAGGCACTCACCCGCCCAAGGCACTCACCCGCCCCAAGGCGCTCACCCGCTACAAGGCACTCACCCCGTCAAGGCACTCCACCCGCCCCAAGGCACTCACCGCCAAGGCACTCCACCCGCCCAAGGCACTCCACACCCGCCCAAGGCGCTCACCCGCCCCAAGGCCTCCACCCGTCCAAGGCACTCACCCACGCCCCAAGACACTCACCCGCCCAAGGCACTCCCACCCGCCCAAGGCACTCACCCGCCCCAGGCACTCTCACCCGCCCCAAGGCACTCACCCGCCAAAGGCACTCCACCCGCCCAAGGCACTCACCCGCCAAAGGCACTCCCGCCCAGGCACTCACCCGCCAAGGCACTCACCCACCCCAGGCACTCACCCCGCCCCAAGGCACTCCACCCGCCCCAAGGCACTCACCCGCCCCAAGGCACTCACCCGCCCCAAGGCACTCACCCGCCCCAAGGCACTCACCCGTCAAGACACTCACACCCGAGGCACTCAGCCCCCGCAGCCCCGCCTTGCTTAGCTGTATTCTCAGAAGTGAATCACTCTGTTCGTGGTAAACATTTAAAAAAAATTCCGGTGTTTGGTAAATGTTCGATTAAAAGTTTTCTCAGTTCTTGACTTATGTAATTGACACAAATATGATATTTTTCATGCATTTTACAACCTAACCTAACCTAACCTAACCTAACCTAACCTAACCTTTAAATTGTGTCAACCTAACCTAATTTAACGAAATCTAACTCTACCTAACTTCACCCTCACCTCGTTTCACCTCTCCTCTCCTCACTTCTCCTCACCTCGCCTCACCTCTCCTCACCTCACCTCACCTCGCCTCACCTCGCCTCGCCTCACCTCACCTCACTCCTCCCACCTCACACTCACCTCGCCTCCTTACTCACTTACTCGCCTCGCCTCTCCTCACCTCTCTCCTCACCTCACCTCACCTCGCCTCGCCTCGCCTCGCCTCGCCTCGCCTCTCTCACCTCTCCTCACCTCTCCTCACCTCACCTCGCCTCGCCTCGCCTCGCCTCACCTCACCTCACCTCACCTCGCCTCACGCCTCACCTATCCTCCACCTCGCCTCGCCTCTCCTCACCTATCCTCACCCTCTCTCCTCACCTCGCCTCCTCACCTCACCTCACTCGCCTCGCCTCCACCTCACCTCACCTCGCCTCACCTATCCTCACCTCGCCTCGCCTCACCTATCCTCACCTCTCCTCACCTCGCCTCGCCTCACCTCACCTCACCTCCACCTCCTCGCCTCGCCTCACCTATCCTCACCCCTCGCCTCGCCTCTCCTCACCTATCCTCTCCTCACCTCCTCACCTCCACCTCACCTCACCTCGCCTCGCCTCGCCTCGCCTCTCCTCCACCTCTCCTCACCTCTCCACCTCACCTCACTCCGCCTCACCTCACCTCACCTCCACCTCACCTCGCCTCACCCTATCCTCCACATCGCCTCGCCTCTCTCTCACCCTACCTCCTCACCTCTCCTCACCTCACCTAACTTCACCCTCACCTCGTTTCACCTCTCCTCTCCTCACTTCTCCTCACCTCGCCTCACCTCTCCTCACCTCACCTCACCTCGCCTCACCTCGCCTCGCCTCGCCTCTCCTCACCTATCCTCACCTCTCCTCACCTCTCCTCACCTCACCTCACCTCGCCTCGCCTCACCTCACCTTTAAACATTATCAACAACATTTAATTTTCTTTTTCTTGGTTGCTACTTAAAATAATATCAACTCTAACTTTAGTACAAATCATCTTAAAACTTTTATAAATTGTATAATACTGACATACGCACGGGGAGAGGAAGGTGAGGGTTGTGGAAGAGGGTAGGAGGAGAGGAGGGGGAAGGAGTTAGGGGTAGGGGAGAGGATAGGTTGTAGGGGAGGGCATTCACATATACAGTATTACTCTACAACTGCCAGACAACAGTGTACACTGTACACTATGTTCACCTTACTCACACACACAAAATACTGCGCCGTAGATCTGCAAGAGTGTGTGTGTGTGTGTGTGTGTGTGTGTGTGTGTGTGTGTGTGTGTGTGTGTGACGGCACAGATACACAGCAGAGGTTGTAATGTTAGAGGACACAGACCAGTGTTCCGGTATCAGTAAAATGTCAGTCACTGGTAAAGTAAAGAAGTTTGTTGACTCAGACCTTTGAGTTTCACGATTAATGAACGAGTTTGAGAATGTCAACAACTGTCGTTATATTTCACTCTTCTGTATTAACCTCCATTCTTTTTCTTCTTCTTTTTTATTTATATGTCTGGGTTTTGAGTCCTCTTAAAGCCTCGCGCTCTCACTTTTATCTTAAGAGAATTGTCATGTTTCTCAGCGTGAGAGACTCTGAGACACCAAACCACTTTTACACCGTCAGAGGCTAAAAATATTTCCTTTCTTTTATAAAATTTGAGTTGTTTTGTGAAGTAGTTTTGGTGAGACAAGGATGGCACTGTGAGGGAGGCCAGCTGGCATTTCCTCTCAGCCGGTCACCAGGAGGCACCACCTATCACCTTCCTCGTTCCCGGTGTAATTAACCAGAGGATCAGGAGGACACAGCAGCGGAGAGTGAAGGACTGCCCAGGGACCATCAGTGGTCGAGGGAGAGTGTGGGGTGAGGCGAACACACAGTGATATACAAGAGTAGGATCGTTCATAAGGGGGAAGGAAGGGCAGGTTGGAATATAGGATAAAAGACAGCTCGAGGGTAGATAGTGTAGGTGTCTGGAGGGATGGTAGGAGACGGGTGGACACAAGGGGGGGGGATGATGGCCGCCGTCCTCGTCAGCGGTCAAGCGGAAAGACAGACAACAGTTAGGGAAGCAAATGGAGAATGTGTAGGAGAACCAGAGTCTGAAAACTAGTACAGTATCTGATGTGTACTGAAGATGGGGTTAGGGTGGCAGGAAGCGGGCAGAGGGCGAACAGCAAATAGTGTGGTTGGACCCAGCAAGGCGTGTGAAGGGGAGAGATGGAAGGCTGGCGTAACGTAGCGAGAATCATAATAACTGGACAAACTGTGGCAGTGTGGAGAGCTGGACCACTATACTGAGGAGAACGCACTGCCACAGACTGTGTAGTAGTTACCTCAGCAGGTCCCATCCTTTCCTATAGACATTATCACCTGTAAATATGATCACATGTAGACATGATCACCTGTAGATATGATCACCTGCAAACATGATATCTTGTAAACATGATCACCTGTAGACATGATATCTTGTAGACATGATCACCTGTAGACATGATCACCTGTAGACATGATCACCTGCAGACATGATCACCTGTAAACATGATCACCTGTAGACATGATCACCTGTAAACATGATCACCTGTAAACATGATCACCTGTAGACATGATCACCTGTAGACATGATCACCTGTAGACATGATCACCTGTAGACATGATCACCTGTAGACATGATCACCTGTAAACATGATCACCTGTAGACATGATCACCTGTACTTGTTTCACATCACTAGAAATGTGTCTGAGCTTAATTACCTGTAACCTGACGTCTCTGTTTATGAACTGAGCCACGTGACCACCAACAAGGAAGCAGATACAATTTATCACTTGTCACAGGTGTTTGGGTATTTATATTTGTAATTCCGTGTTGTGTCCTGGAGAGTTAAGTTGTATTGTATCACTGCGCTTCAATAACTAAAGTCCTTAAGCGTGTACACTAAGTTAGTTCACACAGTAAACTATAACATGAAAAAGGAGATACATTTTCTGGTTACTTACAAATAAAAGCAACAAGAGAGCAGCGCCGCCTGATTTTCACTTCTTATCGAATCATCTCACTAAGTTTAATTTCGAGGTTGTGGTTTACACGAGTGAGGGAAAGTCTTGCAGCAGCGGGAGAAGTAAAGAAGTAGGGAAAAAACTGATAGGACGATCACGGGTAATGTTACCTCTCACAACTTACTAATAGAGAGAGGTGGAGATCCCAAGGGCAACATCTTCCCGTCAAGTAGAAGTAGTAGTAGTAGTAGTGTTGTGTGTGTGTGTGTGTGTGTGTGTGTGTGTGTGTGTGTGTGTGTGTGTGTGTGTGTGTGTGTGTGTGTGTGTGTGTGTGTGTGTGTGTGTGTGTGTGTGTGTGTGTGTGTGTGTGTGTGTGTGTGTGTGTGTGTGTGTGTGTGTGTGTGTGTGTGTGTGTGTGTGTGTGTGTGTGTGTGTGTGTGTGTGTGTGTGTGTGTGTGTGTGTGTGTGTGTGTGTGTGTGTGTGTGTGTGTGTGTGTGTGTGTGTGTGTGTGTGTGTGTGTGTGTGTGTGTGTGTGTGTGTGTGTGTGTGTGTGTGTGTGTGTGTGTGTGTGTGTGTGTGTGTGTGTGTGTGTGTGTGTGTGTGTGTGTGTGTGTGTGTGTGTGTGTGTGTGTGTGTGTGTGTGTGTGTGTGTGTGTGTGTGTGTGTGTGTGTGTGTGTGTGTGTGTGTGTGTGTGTGTGTGTGTGTGTGTGTGTGTGTGTGTGTGTGTGTGTGTGTGTGTGTGTGTGTGTGTGTGTGTGTGTGTGTGTGTGTGTGTGTGTGTGTGTGTGTGTGTGTGTGTGTGTGTGTGTGTGTGTGTGTGTGTGTGTGTGTGTGTGTGTGTGTGTGTGTGTGTGTGTGTGTGTGTGTGTGTGTGTGTGTGTGTGTGTGTGTGTGTGTGTGTGTGTGTGTGTGTGTGTGTGTGTGTGTGTGTGTGTGTGTGTGTGTGTGTGTGTGTGTGTGTGTGTGTGTGTGTGTGTGTGTGTGTGTGTGTGTGTGTGTGTGTGTGTGTGTGTGTGTGTGTGTGTGTGTGTGTGTGTGTGTGTGTGTGTGTGTGTGTGTGTGTGTGTGTGTGTGTGATAATAATAAACGGTTTATTAATAGAGTTGCAGCCGGTGGCTGAAAATATACAAACTTACATTTGATTTAGACATAATGATATGCGTTGAATACATTTACAGGGCTGTACAGTACATAAATCAGGAGTTGTTTATTATTTTAACACTCACAGTCTCTGACACCTTGAAAATACGCACTGTCTTACCGTAAAAGTACTGAACTGCCTTAAAATAGCTACACGTCGACGTGATGACCTTGGCTGCTGCGGAGCGCCAGGGGACACGTCCTCACTCAGTGTGTGTGCCAGTGTTCTCGCTGACACCAACTGTAGAAGCATCGAGGCTACCATTATCCATGAACAACTACGCTGGACTGGCCATGTTACCCGCATGGACGAGAGTAGACTGCCAAAGCAGCTACTATACAGTCACCTAACGAATAGTAAACGTAACACTGGCGGGCAACTGAAGAGGTATAAGGATAGTCTTAAGACAAACCTGAAAACGTGCCAAATCGACCCCCTCACCTGGAAGACGAGTACTCCACACCGTAACGCTTGGAGGAGCACCACACGAGAAGGAGTCAATACTTTCGAGTTAGCCCGACTGCATAACGAGGCAGACAAGCGCCAACGCCGGAAAGACGCTTCCGCCACTCCTCCCAGACCACCTGTACAAAGTTGAGACACAACAGCGCTTCCTGCC